TTCCCTCTCGTGCCCCTCAGGAGTGCCTGTGTTTCCTTGCAGTAACGAGAAGGACCGGGCGAAAGCCCCCGTGAAGAAGAAGGAGGACCCGAGTGCCATCAAGGAGCGGGAGGTGTAAGTGCTGCCGACGCCTGAGGGAAGAGGGCCGGCCACGCTGCAGGCTGCAACCAAGGGCGTTTCCGAGCAAAGCTGTCAGAGTAGGAAACGGTGCCCCAAACCAAGGGAGCGAGCTTGGGAGACAGCGGTGGGACACCTGATGAGTCACCCTCCTACACTACCTTGAGTTGTTTCTGCTCATTACCCTTCCTTTATTCTGTGCAAGTTGTAGGACTGGATATGTTGTTAACTGCAATTAACTGATTTGAATTCTTTGTCTTCCTGGCAGCCCCCAGCACCCCTCTTGTTTGTTCTTCCAGTATAATACACAGTTGGGCCCTCCTTATCACATCCTGGTTGACACTAACTTCATCAACTTCTCCATTAAGGCCAAGCTGGACCTAGTGCAGTCAATGATGGACTGTCTCTATGCTAAGTGTGAGTGTCTCCATCATTCGCAGCTTCTTTGGGACCACATAGTGCCATGACGTGCTCGTGATGTGCTTTATCGGCCTCATGTCAATAGCTGACGATGATAGAAATCTTGGAAAAAAGATATGTGCTGTAATCATTGAGTTTGTTGTTCATGGCTACGGTGACCCTGGAACTGTCTTTGGTTTCAGTCAAACAACAGTCTTAAGTGCTAATGTCAACAACGGCAAAGCATTAATAATTTAAAAATCTAAAATTACCATGGCATGGTCAAACTCAGTGGCTACATGTTTCGTCACTGCAAGCTTATCAGTTCTCATAAGTTTAAAGCTGTAAGTAATGTGTTATAGAGTTCCATGATAGTTAACTATTCCTAGGCATGTGGGAAATATGTAAAGGTCTGTAAAGAAATAATGCTTGGTTTTAATACAGGGTTTTTTTGCACATAGGTATTCCATGTATCACAGATTGTGTAATGGGTGAAATCGAGAAGTTAGGACAGAAGTACCGTGTGGCGTTAAGGTAGGTGCAGGGTGGAGTTCTCTGTTTCTAGAACTTAATGTTCTAATATAAATAAACGAAAAGCACTTTCTATGAGTGGTGCTCTTGCTCTAGAGGGTGATTAGATTGTTGCAGAGTCCTGAACTTGGTTTTATTTGTCCAGCTGTATGAGATGAGTACGATGGTTCCAGTTTTAGATAATTTTTTAAAAAACTAAATGCTAGGTATGAGTGCACAATATTGATCTGTAAATCTTTTTTTCCCTCAAAGACTTTCAAAATAACATTTCCTCCTGCTTCTCAAAGTATATATATATTTTTTTTAATTAGAGAAATTTCTAAAATAAAGAAGTGACAGAAGTCTTACGGAACGTTTCACTCATGCCTCATGTTACTCCTGTAGGAGTAGGTAGCACGTACTGATAATCTGGAGCCAGATTATTGTGTGGTCTGTACAAAACTAGTCCAATGTATGCAGTTCGTGCTGTCTAGGTGTGCCAGTCAGATGTGGTGTTTTCTGCTTTTTATTTTGGCCTGTTGTGTTGTAAAGTATCTGAGTGCATCCCCTAAACAGCTTTGATGTTTCCCTTCAAACAGGAGGTGAAGCATTCCTATATGCATGGTACCAACGATCCAATACCAGAAGAAGTTCTAGTTCTTTCCACAGATAATTTGTTTCAAATGACTTTGTTAGGCAAGAGCCTAACCTTTTAGGGATCTTGAACAGCAAGTACTAAGAAATACTTAATCTATGATAATTAGCCAAACAAATTGTGTTCTTTCTTTGCTCCTCATTTCAGTTGGCTGTTGTGTACCATTCACTGTATCCCTTCAGCCCTTGTTTTGAGAATAACATGCTGCATATCCTAGAAAGGGGCGTTCCTGTTCCTCCATACTGTGTGACTGTACACGTGGTCTGATTGCTGTGATGCTGCCTTGTATATCCCTACAGAATCGCCAAGGACCCTCGGTTTGAACGCTTGCCATGTATGCACAAAGGAACCTACGCAGATGACTGCTTGGTACAGAGGGTCACTCAGGTACTTCTGTTTCTGAAATTTTCTGTACTATGCTAACATACAAAAAATTTCTGAACCGTCCTAGTTACTGATGACTTAAGTTTCCCACAAAGCAACACTAAAATCTCGCTAAGGGGCAGTTTCAGTCCCTAGCACAACTTTATTTGAAGGAAGGTGTAGTCTTCCCTGAGTGTTCTTGTTGTATAGGACAGCATCAAGGAGCACTCAGGATGGGCAAGCTGTCAGCTGGGAAGGCTGGACAGACTTTGGATGTTTCTACGAGTCCGTGTTGATGAGCGGAAGGATGTTACTAGTCTGCTGTCGAGTTCTGTACAAGCCCTAGTAATGCCTCGCTAAGGACTCTTAGGCCTCTCATGTTAAATGAACTCACTGAAGAGAAGCTTTTGCTCAGCTTTGTCTCCTTTCTGCAAGTTCACTGGTGTCGAATCTGACTCGCCTCTTTTTTTTCAGCACAAATGTTACATCGTGGCCACAGTGGATAAGGAACTCAAGCGGAGAATACGAAAAATCCCAGGAGTGCCTATAATGTATATTTCCAGGCACAGGTGAGGGACCTCTGACGGGGAGGAACGCTGCCTGGCAGAATCCTTGTCTGACAGGGACTCTATCACCGTGTGCTTCTCTCCTGCAATGTCCGTAGCGCAGGTTGCAGTAAATGGCCTAGTGTTTGCACAAGAGTAGAAGTACAGCTGCTGCTGGGAAGAGACTGGTCGCAGACCTGCTTTTATTGCAGTCTATTTTCTATTGCAGTCTATTTCACTTGCTCTTACTCAAGAAACTAGTTTCCTTGAGGCCAGTGTTTCCATAGATCAGTTTTGCTTACCAGCAGCAAGATTACCAGGCAAATGCATCTACAGGTTCTTGAGGAAAAGAACCATTCTTTTTCCATAGTCTATTTTTTAGCTCTGTGTACCCCCAGCTAAGACACTGAATTTGCTTCTTAGATAAAACTCAAACCAACTCAGAAGGATGCTAGTGCAGCAATTTCAGTGCAACAGATTTTTCCAGCATCTGCAAGTATTTTTTTTTAATATGCAATAGGACCAGTAATCTACTGTACAAAAATTTGCTTACATTAATTTCCTGTTCATTCCAAAGCACTCATAAAGCCTAGACTAAGAAGACTTCACTTACCTTTGTTTGTCATATCCAGTGTTTTAGTATTTCTTCTATGTAATGTACAGCCCAGAAGATTTATCTTGCATAGAACCTATGCCAGATTGTTTCACAGTATGGTAGATATGTTTGGTAGCATGTTAAGGAGAGAAGGCAGGACATGGAGAGAAAAGGGCCAAAGTCATCAGATGGGATAGGAAAGATGCTAGAAAGGAGGCAGTTGTGCTAGCAGCAGAGACAATGAATCTAGTAATATGCAGACAGAGCAGTATGTCAGAAATGAGAGGGTTTATTGCTATAAGCATGTAAAGTCTTAACTGATCTGTAATTAGAACGTGGCTCAGAAGATTTTTCTCTCAAAATATCTATGCCCCTTAGTCACCGTGGCCATGAATTGGAAGCTGAATGGCCAAAGTTTTATTCTCTTATTGGTCTGCTCTGACATGCTACATGAGATGTTACAAAAGCGCCACTTTTGTCCTTCTCTGGAGATGGTGAGTTTTTGAGATGCTGGATTTCTGAGTTTGAGGTGAAGGATAATAGCAGCCTTATGAAGGCCTTTCACTTTCAGAAGTAATATTTTTCTGCCCGGGGATCTGAGCTGCAGACAGAAGTGCAACAAAGCTGCTTGCTGTTTAGTCTGCCTGTAAGCCTGTTGCTGCATGGGGAGGGGAGCAATGTGCAGTAGGTTGTCTTCATAGGTTTTCCCTCTTTCTTTCTCAGATACAATATTGAGAGAATGCCAGATGATTATGGAGCTCCTCGATTCTAACCTGTCCAGCCAGGCCATCGATGCCAGGACTCCGAGCCAGGATGAGAGTCCTTCTGGTTCCAACCCTCCTGCTTTCTTTTTTGCTGAGACTCTGCTCATAGGACTGTGGGTGACATTGGACTGACTTCATAGCCTTGATCTTCTAAGAAGCAGCTACTTAGAAGAATCTGTTTTTATTGATCTTTGTTCTGACTTGGCCTGATTACCTATAGCTGGGAGAAGCGTATGAGAAAGAGAAGGCGGCAGTGCCCAGAACATACCTAACTCCCTGTTCATTGGGATCATTGGAAAAAGTGATTTCAGCATTCTGAATTAAATATTGGTGATGCAATTCTGGCTGAGAATGAAACCACAGAAATTTTAGAAGTTTCTAATTGCTGCACATGCAGCAGGACAAGTATTCCTCTGGGAAGCTCCCTTACACCTGTCCCACAAGCAAATCGGAATCTATGTTCTGGACAAAAGCCATCAAATCTGCACCAGTTGGCATGCCTTCTCCGGACCAATAGTTTGGAAGATTTTAATTCAGAATTGATGGGCTTTTATTCAACTGTACAATGACTGTGAAAGGTATTAAAGTGAGCTGAGAGCAGAGTAGATGGGAGGCAATTGGAGCAATGGCTGCAGATCAAGAGAGTCTCACAGAGACCTGGAGCATTTGCTGCAGGGAAGGAAGTGGTCAGAGGAGGGAGGGAAAAGAGATGGTTAGGCCACATGGAGAAGTGGAGTGGAAAATGTATGTGAAAGCTGTAACTCTGTATTCTCATATCTTTTTAATTACTCTTTTAAGTTTTAGCAATATAATTTGCTCGTCTGATCTCTGCTCTGCAGTGAGAATTGTCTTAAGACTGAGAGGCACCAGTCAATATGAAGGGCACCAGGGGCCAACGTGTGGTAGCATGCTTCCTGGCCAAAATGCTGCAGTTGAGGTATAGTAAAGGGGGGGACTGAAAATTTATATTCTCAGTGCAATTAAGAACATTTCCAATAATACAGTTTTTATCTTGTGGTGCCTTACACTGGTCTAGGCTGTAGAGAACAGCTGAACTTAGATGTTTGTATGCTCAGGAGCATACAGTGAGGAGAATACCTCTCCTCTGCTAATCGTTTCCTGTCCTTGGGAAATACCCTGACATGCTGATAACTTTCTTGCTAGCACTGTGCCTGTAGAGATACTGCAGGAAGCTTTGGGAACATATCAGTCTTACCCCTCGTACTATCTCTTCGCTTGCTGCAGGCTCAGCTACTAAACTCATCCCTGAAATAACACCATACTGACACTTAAAAACATAGCCCCTTCCAAGTGATCACAACTGAACTTTATCATCTCCACCTCCAGCCAGAAAGAGGGTAGCCAACAACTCTGAGATTTTACATTCGGTGTATAATTGTACATTTCAGAAATAACATCCTTAGTTTTCTTCTCTCAATCCAAGTCACATTTCTTTAAACTAAATGTTTTAAGTATTGTCATGAACACTTGAAGACCATGTGTAGTCAAACAAGGACTGAGAAACAGTTGTAGGATTAGGTCTGTGTAACTTGGTTTTCAGAAAAATTTGAGTTTTGAAAGACTTCTTCAAGTACAAAGTTCTTGAGTTATTCTTGTGCAAATAACTTCACTTGAATTAACCTAAATTGAAGGAGACTGGAGAAGAAACAAATTGATGCTCATGCTAATATTTGATATAAGTCTTTCTGGCACTGATGAAGAGGTCAAAGGCACAGTAACATGATGAATTTGGGGAATGTGCCTGCCAGCAGAATGCTCATTGGAGGGACTTAAAAATATGTGTATGTAGCATGAACTATGGGTAGGAATCAAAGCAAATGTGCCCATTTACCAGTGTCATTTACTCCTTAAATTAACATTCCTTGTAATCTGCCTCAAATAGGCATAAGGCAATTCCTAAACAAGTGTTAAGAGGGTTGGAGGATAAGCAGCAGGGAGAAAGTATTGGCAGTGAGTGAACCCATCAGGAAATTTTCATAATTTGAGTATAATTGGCAAGACAGAAAAACTTGGGTATTGACTCAAAGAACCTGGTCAGAAGAGACGCAAAGGACAGGAAAGGACCACCTGAGTTATCAAGTGCTTCTGTCGTGGTTTTAGGCTGATCCAGCAACTAAAACTCACACAGTCTCTCCTTCTCCAGTAAAGTAGAGAGGAGAGAAAAAAAAAAACAACAAAGGGACTGAGGGTTGAGACAAGAACAGAGGGAGCACCCACCAACCATGGTCCTGGGCAAAACAGGCAGAGCTTTTCTCAAAGCAAAACAGTTTATTAATGATTAAGTAGAAGGACAAAGGGAAACAAAACCAGTTACTCGAGAGGACAGAAAGAAACAAAACCAGATCTTAAAACCGACACCTTCCCCCCCACCCCTTTCCTTTTCCTCC